AGGGGTAGATTCTGTGGGGATATGTGGGTCAAACCCTGTGGAAATAACTAGCTCCACTGGTTAGCTCAAGAGTTGAAGGGGTGATGGACTAAGCTATGTGTGACCAAGGAGCCTGCCATCACTCACAGGTAAAGGAACCAACAACAGTCTGGACTGGTCAAGGCAGCAGCACACAAATGTACATCCAGAACAGGATGTGGGGTGGGCCGTGCTGCAACATTCAGCAGCTCATACAAGGCCAAAAGGAAGGCCAACCTAAGCCTGACACTGGCCTAAAACCCACTGGCATGTATGGGAACTGGTCTGGAAATGGGTCAAGTGGAGAAACTTGAGAAATTCCCCCAGTGGGTCATAGCTCCCGCTGGTGACCTGGGGGTTGGACAAGCTGGGCAAAGTAGCTCCAACAGCAGGCTAATGTGTGGGTTGGTAATGGAATGGGGTGGGCCAGGCAGGACTGAGTAAGAAATCAGGATGGAGCACAGGTCATGCTGAGCTAGGCTCTTGTACCTACTGGTCTGCATAAGCCAGGAACGCTAAGCCACAGCATCTAAGGCAGGGGCCGGGACAGGTGAGGGGCTATGCCAAGCTGAGTCAGAGCAACCACTGGCATGTGCATAATCTATGTTTAGGAACAGGCCTGGTTGGGGAGAAAAGGGAACATCCTGGCTGGGTTGAGGTTCCCACGAAGGGGCTCGTGGGCTGGAATGGGGGCTGCATTCTGATCAGGATACAATTGTAGTCTCCCTTGGCACAAGTGTAGACTGGAACTGGACGCACCAAGCCGGGCTAGACTCCAACACCCTCTGGTGCTCTGGAGAGCCTGGGTAGATGTGGGACAGACTAGGCTACTGAGCCATATGTGAGCGGTATGTGGGTATGGATGAGCCATGCTGGACTGCAACATCCAACAGTAAGAACCGGAATGGGTTGAAGGCCAGTCAGGAAAAGCCACTGTTCCTATTAGGACAGGAGGTGGACTGAGTAGGGCTGGCTCATGGACCCACTGGTATGCACAAAATCTGGCATTGGGAGAAGTTCTGATGGAGGAGCCTGGGCAACTAGTCTAGCAGGACACAGACCCTGGAGGTAAGCGCAAGAAACATGATAGGAAGCAGCCCAGAACAGGTCATGGAAAGTGTCCCACTGGCATACATTTGGCATGGGTCGGGGCACCAGGCTGAACCAGTTCATATCATCCACTGGTGAATATGAGCACCAGAACAGAGTGTGGGCCAGGCCAGGTTTGGTCACAACAAAGACTAGTGCACAATACAAAATGCCAAGCTGAGGTTGCCTGTACCAGAAGTGACCGCAGTGCCCAACCAGCACATGTGAGAATCAGGAGGGAGGGGGGAAAAGCTGGCAGGGAAATATGGGGGGCTCCCCTGCTGGACAACCACTCCCACTGGAGAGCGTGAGCTGGGATGGTGGCAGACCAGACTACGCAGGGCTACAACACCTGTGGACCTCATGTGAACTAGATCAGGGAAAAGACAGGATGGGCTGATTTTTCCTACTGGTGCAAACAATAATCAGAGTGGGTGAGGGTTGGTTGGGCTTAGATGCAGCATCAGATGGCAGAGGCTGGCACTGGGGGCTAATTCTGTCAAGTTAAACTGCAGAACCACCTGGAGAGTGCATAATCTGGGAGTAGGAGTGGCCTAGAAGGGAGATAGTGGGTACATCCCTCTTGGGTTACCACTCCCACTGGAGGGCATGAAAACCAGGACTGGGGCTGGGGTGGCTAGACAGAAGGGCACCCAACAGCATGTGTGCGGGCTGGATAGTGGAGCTGGCTGGGTTGAACTAGGAGTCAGTGCTCATTGACATGTATGAGAGCCAAATGGGATGTGGGACAGACTGGACTAGTCTGCTGCACATAATGGCAAGCATGCGAACCAGGATAGGGGGCGGGCCTGGTGAGGGTTGTTGCAGGTCGCTCTGACTAGGCTGCAGCTCCCACTGGTTTACGTGAAGGCCAAGTGTGTGATGGACAGAATTAGGCTGGACTGCAACACCCATTGGTTCCAGTGGAAGACAGGGCTGGAAACAACTGTCCCAGCAATTGCAACCACCAGCTGATTGGGGTGATGGACTGTACTGGGCTCTGTACTTGGAAGTACACACAAGAACCTGGTCTGGGTTCACCTCAAAGTTTCTTTGGGGATCTCCCCAATCGAACTGCCCGACTCAGAACCCTAACCATGAAAAGAAAGATGATAGAATAAATCAATCAACTACCTCAGCCATATGTTGGCAGTGAAAAACTGGGCAAACAGAGACTCTTAGGTGGACTATGTCAATCAGTGGATACTGCAGAGACCTCATCGTGCGTGGAATGGCAGGATTGTGAGCAATTCACAGCTGTTGAACTATCGAAACCACTTGGGCAAGACCCTTGGAGCACACATCAGGGACCTGGAGTGGGTGGAAGACTGGGTAGGGCTTCTCCCTTTATCCCAGATACTGAAGAAAACAATGTAGAAATAATAGTCTTACCCACTTTCCTGTAGCCCTTGAACCTTTTTGCATTAATTGACTATGTAAAGATTGTCAAAAATAAAGGATAAAAAAAAAAGGAAAAAATAAGACAATGAAGAATTCTGAGTACTATTTTCAACTGTATGCCCAAAGTGGCCAAAGACCCAGTCCAACCCCAGCAATGTGACTGTGCTTGTTGCAGGGTGTATCGCTGCAGAGTAAGAGAGCAAATATGACAGGTGGTAACCAGAAGCTTATTTTCCCCAAGCAGGCTGTTTAAATCTTTTTCTCTATAGTTTCCACGTGTTTGTTAATGTTTTCCATGGACTGTGTTCTATGCTAAAGGATATATGTTAGCTTGGAGAGGAAATTAGAGCAGTATTTATAAAGCTGATTTGGTAGGAATCAAGCATTGTAGCACAATTTTCCTTCTGATGAAAAGACAAAGTGCAAAGATGATCAATCGGTAGCGAGGTCACTTATCCTAAATTTCCTATTTATTATTTTATTTTTTTTTCTATTTATTATTTTGTAAGTAAAAAATGATAATGTTTTCCTCTCACACCTCTGTGAATTGCCGCATATTAATACTTAAAAGAAAAGGAAAAAACCCAACATAGAATAAACTTTTCCATCCAAACATAAATCTAAAGAATGACTGTGCTCTCTCTGGAATATGTTGATGGTAAACAGAGATCTCCCTACCACAACTACGTATAACGAGACATAAAATAAATCCAAGGAAGGACAGAATTTTCACTTTTCCTGTAACAGTATTTAGAAGATTGGATATAAAAATCAATGGTGAGTATGCCTACATTTTAGCAGGAATATGGCACAAACCACAGACGAACTGAGCAAGCTGGTACAGTAACTGCTGGAACTACATGAACGTATTCTTTTCAGCCAGACCAAACCTCACTGAATTATATTTTTGTTTTGCGTATCTACTTTACTACCAGGAATTACTTGAAAGTGAGAAAGACATATTTATACCTTCCTATCTCTTCTTCTATTTCAGTAGAGAGAAAGATTTATGGTTTCTTCTTGCTGTTTCCTGTAAGTTACCGTATCTTATACATGAGGCCAACCTTTAGTCTCACATCAAAAACTGGAATTCTGAAAATACTAGAGCAGTTATTTTATGATAAATGATTGTTCATTTTTACTTGGACAGTGTTGCCAAAAAAAATTCATAAAGATTATTGTTTCAGATAGGACTGAAAGGCACATACACAGCACACTGCTTCACAAGCTACTTTATACATAGATTGCTTTTCCAAACAATATACATAGTTCTTCAGGTAAAACCACACCCAGGGATTCATTTTGGTAGTAAACATTAGCTCTAGCATCAATTAACATTCCACATGTAAGATTACTTACCTTGCTCTGGCAGATACTATCAATAATTTGTAATGTGTTAATTTGGTTTTCACATAACAATCACATGCAAAATACAAAGTGAAGTCATACCCTACTGAATAATGTAGAAACTGAAATTTTCTATTTAAAAATATTAACTTTCAGCACAAATTTCGAAGCTGGTTCTGTACCAAGGTCTATAGTTAGCCCTTTTTAAAGATGTATTTATTTTTATTGGAAAGTCAGATATACAGAGAGGAGGAGGAGAGAGGAAAGATCTTCCATCTGCTGATTCACTCCCCAGGTAGCTGCAATGGCCAGAGCTCAGCCAATCCGAAGCCAGGAGCCAAGACTTGGACTGTCCTAAACTGCTTTCCGAGGCCACAAGCAGGGAATTGGATGGAAAGCGGGGCCTCCAGGATTAGAACCAGCGCCCCTGAGGGATCCTGGTGTGTTCAAGGGGAAGACTTTAGCCTATAGGCTACTGTGCACTAGCTTGTCCTTTTGTTAAAAAATGTGTACAAGAAAGTGCACATGTAGTGGATTTTTTAAAAAATGAAACAGCGTGGCTAAAGCAAGGGAAAAAAATATCTGTTACATATAGACATATTTAACATCTCTAGATAGGTCCCACAATTCTTGCTGAGAATTTATCTTCACACTTAATGATACATGCTTCTTTTCCTTTTTATCTGAGAGAAGCTGTGCTAATATACAAATTGAATGAGCTATTTTGAAAACATAGACAAAAAATAATACAATTGCCTTGTTAAGCCCATTATGCTTTTGATATCCTTTCACTTTTATGATCTCCTAGAGAAAACAGTGGAAAAGGTGTACTATTATTTCCATCTGTTAGGAAACCACAGTTCTGAAAAGTCTGAGACTGGGTGAAAACTGCTACACCAAGAATCCCAACAGGAGAATCTACTACTACTGCATTGTTCAAACTATATTTTCAGAAATAATACACAAAAGGTAAATAGAGGAGAAATAAGATGCAAATTGATACCTGTCATATCCCAAATTCTTCTGTTTCAAGACTTCTTAATACATGAGTGTTTACAATGGCTGGCAGCAAGGTGTTACTTATGCTGAATGATCCCAGGGCATGGCTTTTTCTCACCAAGGTATTCGAAGGGTAAATATCTTACCTCTGCTCCTGAATAGGTATCAGTTTGGAGGACAAGTTCATCTAAGTCAACCTCAGTACTGATTGGCATAGAGTGAAACTGCAGCTTCAGTATTTCTCCTCTTGTTGCTGCATCCGGTAAAGGCACATAGATGAGTCTATCAATTCTTCCAGGTCGCAGCAAAGCCTACAGAGAGAAGATGCGGCAACATGGATTACCAGGCTCAGAGCTAACCTTAAACACCATGGGGACCCAGATCTAGGGGTTGTCCAATATCTGAGGGAGACCCCATTACTACTGATAGCTAGCAAATAAAATAGATATTAAAGATTATGTAATCTATTAAAAAACAAATAAACATGAAAATAGAAACACAGTACTCTTGGGAGACTTCAAGGTCCTTAGCGGTGGTCAGGATGTCAAGGAAGTAAAATATGACTCCCTCTTTTAGGACATGTGTACATAAACTGGATTGTTACCAAAAGTAGTATTTTTTAATCTCCTTGAAGAACGTGTAAAATACGTGTTCAGATGTTAGGGCCTCAAAATCAAAATAGCAAGATTTGACAATAAAAGCATGAGACTAATAGAGCCAATGAACTTCCCTCACATCTTAATCGAGGTGAATGCCTACATTCCAACTAATAAATTCATGCATTCACAAGAGTTCATCGACACTAATACATATAAGACACAGTTGTTGATATTAGGAAAAAACATTAATAAGTTATATAAAATGGACTGGGGCAATAGATACATACTTACAAAAATCAATGAGTTACTTTAATGAGTGAATTTATGGGATGTGAATTGTATCTTGATAATACCATTAAAAATGACTTATGAGCCTACTGAGGGAATGCGGCAGCTTAAAAGTCCGCTGCACGAGCAGTCAATATAAAGGGAATATCAAATGAAGTATAATGGTACAATTAACTGGCTTATTCTGGGCAAAATTACAAATCCCAACATTTACAAGTATACTGAACAAAAAGAAAAGAGATAGGAAATGAGATTAGAGTCAGTTATGGGTAGATCATAGCACATGTTTGGAAGATATGGTAAAGAGCATGGATAATACTTCACTTGCAATGGGAAGCACTGGAAGGTTTTAAAGTAAGAAAGGTTATTACTATACATCATAGTATTTGTTAAGAAGGAGGAAATGGTGACTAACTTCTGATAATAAGTTCAGCAACTAGTAAAAGTGCTGTGGTGTATGCCACCTACAGCATGAGCAACCCATACAAATACCATTTTAAGCTCCAGTCACTTCACTCTGATCCAGCTCCCTGCTAATATGCCTGAAGTAGTGAAGATGGCCCAAATCCCTGAGAACCTGACACACATGTGGGAGAGCCAGATGAAGCTCAGGCTCTTAGCACTGACTTGGCTCAGCCCTGACTGCTGTGTGCATTTGGAGAATGAACCAGTAGATCAAAGAGACCCTCACCCCCTCTCTGCTTCTCTCTCTTTCTCTCTGCCTTTCAAATTAATAAATAAATCTTTAAAAATGAGCTTCTGCTAGTGAACGCCAAGATTCGAAAAGCCCATGGTAGGCTGGGAGTGGGCCTGTTTGGGGAACTATGGAGACTCCCTTGCGGGTCTGCAACTCCTACTGGTGAGCATGAGAGCCAGGACTGGGATGGCCACATTGGACAAGGCTGTGTATGGGTCAAGTTTGGGGGTGGACTGGGCTGAGCTAGGCTGCAGTACCTACTGGCACATGTGAAAACCAGGGCCATGGGGCATTCCTGGTGAGGATTATTTGGAGTTGCATCAAATAGGTTATGCACCTGCTGCTGTGCACAAGGGCTAGGCCTGTGGTGAGCTGGGCTTGACCACAGCCCCTGGTGATTTGCACAAGAAATGGGACTTGGGGTGTAACTGACCAGGCAGCTGCTTCTATCCTATGCACACCGGTTGGAGCAGGTAATAGAAAGAACCTGACCCTGCATTAGCTGGTGCACACAAGCATCAAGTATGAGGATTCCCCAACTAGACTTTTGGACTCAAACCCTGGCCTCTGAAAATCACAAGATATGTGTCTGACTTCAGGACGGGGCCTCCTCGGGTGCTGACATCTATTCAATAGAGAACATACCCAGATGCCACAGAAGACATGACACCTAGTTCATCTATCTAAGCCAACAGAGGACATCTAGTATGTCATTAAAAGAAGATTTTTTATCAGTCATGGGACAACAAAGCTGACAACACTTCAGAACTACCAAGATCTCTTAAGCAAACCTGCAAAACATTCCCACAGCAGGGTCTCTAAGGCGACACGCCCAGGTGCTGACTCTAATGATATTGGGGAAAATGATGGGAGGAGAATACGAAGTGGGAAGAAGGGGAGTTTGATATACCAAACTATATCATGGAAAAAAAAAGAAAGAGAAAAGTACAGAACAAGGGTCTTCTCAATGAAAATCTACACAAAATCAGAGAGATACCATCTTTCACAGATTGCAAGACTCAGTGTTATCAATGTATGATATTCCAAATTTATTTACAGAAATTCCAATAAAATTTGCACATAAATTTTTAAGAGCAATTGGAAAGCTGAGTATAAAATTTATGTGGAAATTCAAATGATAGAATAATGAAAGCAATTTTAGAAACAAGTGTAAAAGATGTTACTTGACTTCAAAACATATAATGCAACAGTGTAAAAGTATCCAGAGGATACAACAAAACAGAATAAGGAAAGACTCCATACTGACTTTTTGTTCTTTTTTTTTAATAGTTTTTTTTTTTAAAGATTTATTTTACTTTTAATTACAAAGTCAGATATACAGAGAGGAGGAGAGACAAAGAGGAAGTGGAACTGCCAGGATTAGAACCAGCGACCATATGGGATTCCGGTGCATTCAAGGCGAGGCCCTTTAGCCACTGGCCACGCCAGCAGACCCTGACTTTTTGTTCTTTAAGGCACAGAGTAAAGAATGTATTCAAAGAAATAGTGCTGCCTTTACCATTTGAGCAGGTTGGGGGTGGGGGAGGACACTAATCCTTGTCTCACTCCATATGCAAAAATTAACTTCAAATGTTATTAAATATTTAGGTAAGAGCTTAATGACACAAATTAAAAGAAAAAACAGGTTAGGGCTAGAGCTGTGGCACAGCATATTAGGTTGTCTACAATGCAAGATCTCACATGGGCACTGGTACAAGCTCTGGTAATTTTGCTTGATCAGTTTCCTCCTGATGATTGCCCAGAGAAGCAGCAGAGGATGGCCCAAGGGTTTGGACCCCAGCACCCAAGTTTGAGACCTGCAGGAAGTTCCTAGTTCCTAGCTTTTGCTTGCCCTAGCGGTGGCCATTCAGATCATACAGGGGAGAAAACCCATAGGTGGAAAATTGACTGGTCTTTTTTCCTCTCAAAAAAATTGCCTTTCAATTCTGAAAAAAGATTTATAGCCTCAATATTTCGTGTTGCTGAAGTCACCCAACGTGTGGTATTTTGCTATGTCTGACTCCAGCAAGCTCATATACCTAACACAATCCTTCTACTTTTAAACCTGTCATATGGCCTGATTCCTGGACACCTGAACCAAGCAAACTTAAACATTTATATGCTGAATTTTTAAGCCTTTTTCATAGTCTTGTAAATGTTTCTCTAGTTCATATCTTAATATAAAGAAAACTTTCATCCATTCAGAAAACAATCCAGTAAGTGTGCAAAATATCTGAACAGATAACATATGAAGAAAATTGAGCTGTACATACAAAAGATGCTTAAAATCACTAATCAACACATCAATGCAAATTCAAATATAGTAAGACATGACTACAGTGCTCATAAATGACTAAAATGAATGATACTGACAACACAAAAATTGATCAGATATAGAGTAAGTAGAATGTAATATTGCTAATGTAAGCAAACTAGCACAACTATTTTGGAAAGCCACTTGGGTAGCTTTCTAACAACTAAATATGCCATTCTGTAATGCCTATTTTATTCCTAGTATTTAGACAAAGATTATTTTCAACTAACTGGGAAGTCACATAACACACATTCAACACACTTTTTAATAGATCAGTTTTTGTGACCTGCTTATGAATATAGGTATCACAATAATTTTAATCCCAGAGATGACTCTTCGATTATTTTGTTTTAATTTATTACATCACATATCTGATTAGATTACAGATACATTGTTAAAACGTATAGGGTAAATACCAAATTCATACTAGTTTTCATAAAACATTCAAATTAGCATTAACAAATGTAGTAGAAACAAAATTTTTTCACAAAAAGAAATTCTGGAAAAGCTGGGTAGAAAAACTGTAACTATGTGTAAGTTTTGGGGGTCAGCGTTGCAGCACAGAAGGTAAAGCTTCTGTCTACGATGACAGCCCATATAGACAATGGTTCATGTCCTGGTTGCCACACTTCTGAACTAGCTCTTTACTAACAGGCTGGGAAAGCAGCGGAAGAAGAGTCCAAGTTCTTTGGCCCTGGCCACTCACGTGTGAGACTCTGCTAAAGTTCCTGGTTTTGTTCTGGCCTAACCCTGGCCACTGTTACTGGACATACATTAAAATTCTAGGCTGTTTAAAATTTTCCTTTCTTATAGTTGAAAGAACAACATAGCAAAGGATATAGAGCATACATGTCAGTAAAGTCCCTGGAATACTCAGTGTACATTTGTGCTTTCCCTCCTGGCCCGGAGTTGTACTCGGGCAGGCAGAGTTGAGAACACTTCAATGATTATAACATTGTCTGGGCCAGCAGCCAGCGAGGCTTTTTCTGGCCTGATCTTGTCAGTGAAAGTTATGTTTAAAAAATAGTAGGAAGCAGCTTTCCTTCCTGTAGAATTCTGAATGAGTTAACACCCTTCCTAGAATTTCTTTAAAAATACTGTTCCGTTCTGGGATATTAGGGTAGAAGCATTTATTCTGAATGATGGGATGTTCTGTTATTTTAAAATCACCACATGACAATGCAGTGGGGGAAATAAAAAACAAGCCAAGGCTTTCTAATACTTTGAACTCTTCTGGCTCCAAGGGCATACTGGATAGTGTGGCCTCTTCATTAAATAATCTTCTAAAAATAAACCATAGGGCAAGCTACCTTTTTGAGAACTCATTCAGGATCACCTTTAGTCTCCACACTTCCAATTACCTCAGGTTCTTCATGTGTGAAAATAAAGATGGCTCTTTAACGAGAGCTATGT